TTTAATCATACATTTCATCATTTTTTATCAAATTCCATTAAAAATCTGATTTTAATTCACACTAGACATGGGCTAAATTTATTTCACGAATGTAATTTTGATATAAAAATTATATTGAAGTGGATAGAGAAGTTAAGAGGTTGATTGACAAAACTATTAAGAAAAGTTTTCGTAGATAAAAGTTTTTGTATATTTTGATAAACAAAATGAAGAAAAGTAGGGTTGAAAAGTTGATAAAAATTGTAGATCATATCCGATATAAGAGGGCCTTAAATCTTTTTTTGAAAGCCCAAAACAATTATTCCTTATGAAATGTGCAAATTACACTTGGAACTAACATAAATTTTACTAATCTTTTTTTATTCTGTAGATACATTTAAGGGAAAAATGAATAATTTTAAATAAATAAAAATAACATAAATTAGCTTGATTATTGGAACATTTCAGGATTAATTAACGGGCAGTTTAAGGAACTAAAGAATTTCAAGAAGACTAATTAGTTACAATAAAAAAAATTTGTGTTGTTTTATATAATGCTTATTATATTTGATATATAATTTTTTTTGTAGTATATCATAAAATATTTTAATTTAATGGATAAATATGATTTTTCTTTCTTGAACATGAAAAATTGTTTAATTCAACCACGTTTGATGCTAATACGCTCGTAAAAAAAATATTTGTAGGGACCTCAAGATAAATTTTCGTCTAGGGCCTCAAAATTTTCAGGGTAGACCTTATTGTAGATATCATGAATATGTGGTTAAAATTATTATTTTTACTTTAAATTCAACGTTGTAAACATTCCGAGCAAACACTAATTATGGAACATAGCAACACAGATAATAAGATAATACCAATAGCGAGGAGTGCTCGAAGAACCAAAAAGATGGCGTATATCTGCAATATTTAAAAAAATATATATTAAGGAATTGAATTTGGAAACATTCAAATAAAAATGTAAATAATAAAAAATGAAATTAGACTCACAAATCATTAAAGAAATTTTATAATAAACTTACAGCATTAGGAAGATCTGCGCCGAATTCGAAAGCCTTGCGAATCAAGAATCTCCGGTGGAGCAGCAGCGGAGGAATATGCTTCTTCGCATGCCCGACCGCTGCAATATTCCTCTCCACCGTCGTGTTGGATTCGTGATCATGATGTCTTGAAAATTCTTCCAAACTCGACAATATCATAAAAAATAAAAATACACAATATCGTATAAACACATTATCAGCATCACCCGTGCATAGTCTGAGAATAGTGTTTTGAAGATTAAAATTTTAAATGAAACGATTAACATTAATTTACGTACTATAAATAAGACACCTTACATTGATCTACGTGAAAATTGTCATTTGTATTTTATAAATATATGAATATCTTTCGTAGCATCGTATAAACAAATTTTAATCACTCACCGGTTGGCAATAGTTAATGGTGTGTTTTTATGGTAGACCATTCCGAGGTGCGTGGAAGAGAAATGCCGAACACACTTCGTGTCGTTTCTATGACAGTTGTTAGCGGCCATCGGGATGCTTCGACCACCGTTCGAACCGTTCGAATAGATGTTCATCATCTAGTGTTGACAACCTATCGTCTCCCTAACTATGTATAGTTTTGTTGTTTAATGTTCGATTTGATGATTCAAATCAATGGGATGCTTTCTACTACTAACAATCATTATATAGGTTAGATTCAAATATTGTTTAAGGATGGTTTGATATTTTGAGATTACTTCAATAATATTTAATGATGTTCGTTAGGTGAAATTTTATGTCCACAGTGAGAAACTTGTTTTCATTAGAAATTAAACGCGTCTAAAAGAATACCCCATCGGTAAATCTTTCCTCAATAGTGTGATTATTTTCCGGAATAATTGATTGTGTAAATAAAATGTAATTTTCTTTTTGAGTTAGTTGTAACACTATAAATGAATTCTTTTACTTTTATAATAATTAGACGAGATTATTATATACAATTTATAAGGCAACATCAATTTTACTTGTTCTAAGCAAAGAAGTAAAGTATACTGTTTAATTTATAGATAAACGGTTGCTTGTACTCTCTCTTATACATATGAACATTATTAGAATTTGAATATTATAGAACCACCTAATTTAAATATAAGAATTAATTATAAAATTATTTTGAAAATAAGCAGAAATCAAAAACTAGGAGCAAAGCAATTTAACAAATTTCTCGTGGAGATAATTTTATTTTGAAAACTATGATCATATTCATTTCAAAGTTTTGCATATTTGTAATTTTGCAAGGGATAGATAAACAACTATTAAAAGCATCTAGTACACGGTAATAGACAAAATTAATCCCAATTTGAGCTCCATTCTATAAAAAAATATTTTTCTCCAAACTCATTTCCAACCACACATT